AGGCCATGCGTTAGACCTGCTGGTCAGCATTCGTCAAGCGAATTCGTCAGTGCGACGAGCTCCAGTCTAGGATTTTGCTAGTTTTCTGACGTGTACCCTTCAGTATGCGTCACAAAATCACTCGAGCTTTCTGTTAATGTAATCTGGAAAGCCCCAAAAATTCAGTGCCCCAGCGTACCGTCTCGAATTATTATTTTTATGTTTTTTATTGGCCTGGCTTAACTGCGTCCGACGTTGTTAGAGCATCCCAGTATTAACACTGACATCGAATACCCACACCCATTGTGCAGGCGCTCTCGTAATTCTTGGTATTTTTTGATCATTCGAGTGTTTCTCGAGTTTATTTTATTGCTTTTCCAGCCAATACTTCCAATTACGGGCGTTCATTTTCTGGACCAGGCCGATATCACAGCTCCAAAAACACATCAAAATATATTGCGTCTTTTGAATGGGCGTACTGTCGATGTTGTGCTTAGTGATATGGCTCCAAATCCTACTGGTAAGATTTCACCACTGCAGTGACAACTTCGACAGTGATGAGGTTGAACGAAATTTGACTAAAATAAAATAAATTTGAAATGAATGTAAACAGATTTAATTGAATTTAGCAACTAGACTGTGAACTATAAAAAACCTATCATTTCAAGTAATTGGCGCATTTTGAAAAAAAATTTTCCAGAATATGCAAAATATTTGAATATTGAATCTTTTAATTCACAGATTAGTCTTTCAACTACGCATAATGGTAATTTTCCCAACTGCTTCGACCAATTTTGCATTGCTGACTAGTCTGCTGACCATCCCGACATTCGTTTCGTTTCTTGAGGGGATTACCAGCTTGAGAATTGTCCTGACAGAATTCCTTTGCAAGACTGGACGTTTCTGGATGTTCTTTGGCTTATCACAGCAGCGGCATTTTTCGAAGAGTTGAGATTTTTAAAAAATTCTAGGTGATGGCGGATTGGATCACGAACGCATTGTGTCGCTGTGCAGTACGCTGCTCGAGCTGAGCGTCCAGAAATCCGTTATCCCACTGGTGCGCAATGGCACATTCCTCTGCAAAATATTTGATGGTCCAAGGCGTAACGAACTGATCGCACAACTTCAGCAACATTTTGCCAAAGTTTACACTGTTAAGCCAAAAGCTAGCCGTGATCACAGTGCTGAGGTTTACTTGTTAGCACTGAGGAAGCGCGATTGATGGGTGAAAACGAGGCCTTCAAGAAACTCTCCTTTCCCCGTAAGCATCCGATCCGTGAAAATTTCAGGACACCAGGAAGATCAAAAAATCAACCGAAGTAGCTTAACAGAGTCGCCAGAGAGCAACGGATTAAGTTGTGAACTGTTTGTAGATTGTACGCAAATATATGTATATATGCATAAGTCAAGACTTTCCGGACAGTCGGTGTGGGTATTCCTTGTTAGAATAATGTTTTACTGAGGTGCTTCCACAGGCCGCAAACATGGCTTAATCAGATCTCTCGATCCTGAACTGCATATCTCCAGTTAGCAGTATCCACCCCTGTTTGGTATATGTGCACCACCTCTCCAGGGATGGTCCAAGTGGTTCTTTACTTTTTTATAAACTCCACTCACTAATACGCAACTTCTATTGATTGTTAGTGAGGCAAGCGACACATATATGTGCATATATGCTTTAAAGAAAATTACTTTGAGTCAACGACTTTACGCCGCACATTCTTTATGCATGTGCGATCTTCCGAAAGTACGGGCGTTCTTTGGGCTCTCTTTGAAGAATACTTGAAAAAATCTGTTGCGGATTCTTTTTCTTTTTTTTT